CTAATTCAAGTTTTGTGCAAAAACGCATGATCGCTCCGGCTCGCCTGGTGCGTTCTAGCCTAGGTTTGCATGAAGTCCGCTCGTTTTCCGGTAAATGCTCGCTTTGTAAAAGTGACGAATGCAAATTTTTTGAAAAAATGCAAATTTTCAGTTCACTAAAAAGTGGAAGTGTTGCTCGAACGGTCGTAGGACAAAAAAACCATGTATGCAAATTAACTAGTGTCATTTACATACAGGATTGGGTTCAGGCCCTAGTTGCGATAAATTTTCAACGATTTTTAAGTTCAGGAGCTGCTTGAGGCTTTGGTTGGGGTGCTCGACAGTTGGGTTTCTTTCGTATATGAATAGAGAATATCGCTGCAAAGTTTCAGCTTTCTACGTTACCTGGTTCGCGAAATCGTTCCCCGCCAACATATTTCTTTGGGGGTCCTGTACGCGGGGTCTAGGCGCGTGTAAAGGAAGATCTTAAAAAGTGAGGATGACACACGGGGTAGGAACAAATATTCAAAGTTTCAGCCACCCAGCTTTCCTGGTTGCTGAGATAAAAGTGGGTGACAAAATGCACTCTCTTTCCGCAAACACACACAGGTAGCCTCTCGACAATATGCACTCTTGCTGGCTGTAGCAGCGCTATCATGAAAATGTGGAAACACTCTCTGAAAAAAAATATGGAAACATTCTTTGAATAAATTTTGTGTGGAAACACTCTTTGAATAAACTCTCTTTCGGGCTGCTGGAATTAGCAGAGTGTAGCTACCATTTGGCCGAGGCTCATCATTATATTCATGAATATTCGCTTCCATTTCTCTGTCGGCATGAAAAAATCACTGGTTCTGGTAAAAGTCTTCGATTTCCACGGATTGTCAGTTGATAATTTCGGAAATACAAGTTCAGAAGTCCAAGAATGCAGGCAGTAATAAGTGTTGGGAATACCACACAGCGCCAATACCAGGCAGTCGAGCTTAGAGTTTCCTGAATACTATTAGCCATGAAACTATCCCGATTTTCTGCTTCTTGCATAAGTTCTTTTGTTATCTTTCCTTTACCGTTCCAGTTCGGCCTAGAGTTTGACATCTCTTCGGTGCTTGATAATATAGGATCTGACAGAGCAGGAATTAAGGAAAGTGGCAGTGCAGGTCGTTCTTCGTCGTGCGATGGAATAGTAGCAGTTGAGAAAATTTTCTTTTCGATTTGAGTGGGCAACAGCGACGGGTTCATTTCGTGTACCTGTAGGCTTCCTTAAGATGTTTTCCACCCAGTTTTGTCCTTATAAGCCAGTGGTGGTATATCATCACAATTTACTTTCTTTGATACTGGCACTATATTTGCCGAATATGGCATGACAAACATGAGCTGATCCCCCACTTTTACCGGTCAATAACGATAGCATGTCCACAGAATGCTCGTAATAAATGTGCGATGGTGTGACAGGCTTAAAAAGATTTACAACCAGTGCTTCTCCTGCATTCATTGCGACAATTTCGTCTCTGTCCAACAACATCCTAGCAGCTCCATCGCACTGTCCTGTGCATATTATTGCGGATGGAGCAGATTTGTTCTACTGCAGTACGCGTGTAGCGGTGCATCTGATCTTGAACATCATTATCATCATATAGATATTGCAATCTGGTGTTCCTTAGATCGCCTGTAATCCTTATCTCTGGAATTTGTCTCAGAAAAATCGGAATCTTCTTTGATGCTACCTGTGCTGCTTCAGGAGGAACGTCAGCCGGGCTGCCTGTGTTCCTCATATTGAGTTCCTCTACTTCTGCGTTATGGGTTTTAATCCATTGGAAAATTGTTTCTGTTGCAACGATCATCAGAGGTGAGTATCACATCATTTTCCATTAAATGTGGATTTATCAGTCCGCAGATCTCCTTAATTGCTTCGGCAATTTCTTTGAAAACGAGTGTTGCTTGGAACTCTTCCATTATTACATGTTTACCCTTAATGTAAGCTATCGAAGAGCCTCTTTGTTCATAAACACAATTATTGCTCAGCTGCAAAGCATTCCAAATCACCACACTTTTTTGTTTGGCGCAGTATCCGGAATTCATTTGGCATCCGCCGGTCTCCATCAAGTCAGATAGTATACCTTCTTCATCAGCCGTTACAATTTCTCCTTCTTCCAGTCGATAGTTTACCGTGCTAATACATTTCGTTCCGAGCCAACCGTACGAGCATTTCACTTTATTCATCGATTCCCACTTAAGACCTGAGATACGATGCAGCTGTATGCCTTGATAGTTCTAATTTCTCATTAGTTTTTTACAAACCTTTGGATCCATGGCTGTAATCTCAGTGGTATCCGCTGAAATTTATAGAATAATTTTGAAAAATGATCTTGTACAGATTGTACGAGTGATACTTGAACAGTGGTATGCCGGCAACCGTGTGAATTTTCTTGTATATAGCGTTGCCAACGTTTTCACAACTTTGTCGTTAGGTGACAAAGTACAGTTGAGTTGATCCGGTAGGGAAACCTAAAATCCGGATCGTCTTAGCACACACAATCGAAATTTTCGATCAGCATTCACAGACATAATCATGAAACAGCAAACTGCTGCACATAAAATTTTCGACTCCCCTTGTTCGGTTCTCTCCTGCAGTGGGTATTAGCAGTTTCATCCATAACCACTGTTACATCATGGTTCTTATCTGCTTTTTCAGAAAAATTGTCGGAATCCACTTCAGGTGCTTCTCTGTCTAAATAAGGATCTCCCGACTTAAACTGATGCTTGACGGTGTTGCTCGTCAATTCTCCATCCGTCTGAGACGGTATTTCCAGAGGTGCAAAATAACTTATAGGTCGTGTCCAAAGATGTCCGTTCGGTAACTGAGCGGTCGCTTTTCTTATTGCCTTATCACTACCCATTTTCACCTCAACAATTTTCCCCAGTTTCCACAATCCTCTGGGGACATCTTCTTCGCATACCATCACAATTTCATTCATACGGGGGAAACGACGGGTGAGATTTCGTTCTTGCTTGTGCTCTTTCTGCGTTCGCTCCCGCAAATTCAGGAGATCATTTCATTCCATAGTTTCCAGAAATAGTTTAAGCATCGGCTGGCATTCTCCTAATGCTTAATCAGGCACGCATTCTTGATCTTCTCGATCATTCGCCGAAAATATTGCAGAACCGACCTTTACCTTAGGACTAATGAAGTCAGTAGGACGTAGTACCTCTTCCATATTGCCTGAGACCGCAGTTAGAGGTCTTGAATTTAAGACTGCTTCGATCTCCGCAATTAATGTCACCCGTTCTTCATGAGTTAAAAATCTTCTACCCACTGATTTTCGAATTGCATTTTTTGTCAATCCAATCAGTCTTTCGTACATGACGCCCTGCCACAGCGCGCTCACCGTAATATAATTCCATTTGATTCCTCATCGGCCACAGTAGTCTTCAATCTCTGGCTGTCATTTTATGACTGCGTTGTCTTCTCGGTAAGCTTGAATTGTGGTGCATTGTCACTTAGCACTTCTTCAGGTATACCTCTTC